CTTCTGCTCTTCATCCAACATGTCTGCAGCACTTTACAGGACGCTGCAGACTAGTTACCAAAGAACGAGTCAGGAACACATCAGGAACAAACTGAGACACAATCTGACTGAGACTAGAAGACAAGGAGGGCACAGGGAGGTCATGTGACCATCACAGCTGCTGCTGACGTCATCATGTTGTCCTTTGTTGTCCTCTCAGATTACGAGGTGGTGGTGGATTCAGGGGTGGAGTCTGTCCAGCTGCCCTGCAAAGCTATAGTCAGATTCCTCAAAGACACTAGAGTGGAGTGGAAGGACAGAGATGACAGGAAGGTCCACGTGTACGAGAACGGACGTGACCAGCGTGGAGAACAGCACCGGTTTTACAGAGGACGAACAGAGATGAACAGAAACCCGCTGAAATTTAGAGACCTCAGTCTGACCCTGAAACATCCCACAGATGACGACAGCTCCACCTACACCTGCACCATCAGCAGGAAGGGAAAATTCCTGAAGGAGAAACAAGTGGAGCTCTATGTCAGAGGTCTGAACATAGTTTCGTACAATAAACACATTTGATATTTGACACTATTTCCTCTCCATACTTCAGCCTCTTGGCCAGTTTAGGTTCTCAGTGGTTTAGAAAGGCAGAGCTTATTGAGCAGCAGCAAACTGGATGAAATAAATCATCATAAAACTGAAAGATTGTTTATCAGTTCACTGATGGAATCACTAATGAATTGCATAGATTATTTTGTATTTCTTTAAGTAGAGCTGCAGAGCTCATGAAAAAATAAATCTTGTCATAGACAAGCCTCATTTGGTTTGGATTGACTGTCTCTCTGCTGCTGATTGAACAGAAACTGTTTATGTTCAGTGGGGTAGTTGGACATGTTTCAGACTGGAACCTGTCAAACATTTCATTGAAAATATGTCATTTGAACCAGTCAAAACATGCTCAGAGTTGCTTTAGTGTGTACAACTGTTGCTGTGTTTGTTGTCCTCTCAGTCCCCCAGAAGGAGGTGGATTCAGGGGCGGAGTCTATTCTGCTGCCCTGCAAAACTACCATAAACCTGCCTGAAGTTGCTAAAGTAGAGTGGAAGACCAGATTCAACAGGAAGGTCCACGTGTATGAGAACAGACCTGACCAGCTTCAAGATCAGGACCACCGTTACAGAGACCGAACACAGATGCCTGAAGACCCGCTGAGAACTGGAGACTTCAGTCTGACCCTGAAATACCCCACAGACTGGGACACAGACACCTACACCTGCACCGCCTACAGCAGGGAGGGAAACATCCTGATGATGAAACAAGTCGAGCTGAAAGTCAAAGGTCAGTGCTGTTTTGTACGTGTGAGCTGCAGATGCCATTGAAACTTGAGAAAGTGTAATAACTCCAGCTGTACATTAGTGACGGGATTTCTGGCTCTTTTTAGAGAACCGGCTCTTTCGGTTCGGCTCACTAAAAAGA